CAAAATAAATATAGATATATCCTTCAAAAAATTTTTTGACAGGCTAGAGTGGCAGATTCCTTTTTCTTTTTTTCTTTTTCTTTATATTCCTTTACATTCTGAAAAATGGATCAATATTCAGATGAAGAAAATTTAATAATCCAAAACATCTTTGCTGGATTCCAAAATATTTCAGAAGGACCTGAGAGATTTGACAAGAAATGGGACAGACTATGGGGTACTACAGTAAAAGAGGAGGGTGTTGGAACCCCAGAGATTAAAGAAGAGAATGAAAATACAGAAAACAAAGACAAGATGCTAGATAAATCCATTACTGGAGTAAATGAGAGTGAAAGCGAAGAGAAGGGAAGCTGGAAAAGTGACTTTGACAACTTGGAGCTTTTTCCCAAATTCCAAGATGCAGGAGAAAAAAAAACAGCGAAAAGGATGGAATTAAGAAGACAAATCCATCCAGAAATAAGATTGACAACCAAAGTTAAGCCTACGTTAATAACAACTAAAGGGCAACGAAACTACATGAGAGATCTTTCAAGCTACAAAGTGCGGAGAGAAGTTCTAAACTCTGAAAAGATGCCAAAAAGAATTGACACAACTGCTGGTGAGAGAGAAAGGAACATTTTGCTACTGGAAAGACACTGGTTGATAATGCTAGTTGATGAAAAAAATCAGCTAACTTTTGATGATGATAAAAATTAGCTAATTTTTGATGATTAATAAGTAGGGACCTTAGTATTTTGTAGACTGTTTTAGATCATCATTGAATGTCTATTCGTTAACATATAATTTACTATGATATTAATAATGAAATGATAACCTTAATTAGGATAAATAACCGGGCCATAAATTGTAAATTGAGATCTGGCGAAAAGACATAAAGCTTATAAATTTGTGATTAGATCTTGTTATGAAGGTATAAATAATTTGGATCAGAAGAGAGGAGATGTGAAATAGCAAACAATTGGTTTTTTTTTCTTCTTTTAACCATAATAACAAGAAAGAAATGTTAATGCATACTTTTGGTGATTATTAATTAGAAATCTCAATATCTTTTAGATTGTTTTAGATTTTAAATGGTCATTTTATTAACACTTATTAATAAATGTCTGTTTAGAAAAGGTCATAAAGGTAAATTTCTCTTGGGCCTGTGGAGAGGAGAGGTGAGAAAAATAGTAAATAATTTTATTTACTACAATAATAATAAAGAAATGTTGATGGATAATATTTAATAATATAAGCAGGTGTGTTGTACTAGTAAAAGTAAAATGGATAGAAGCGTTAATCTGTGAGTTTGGCGGGGGGGAAAGGGTAAGGGAATGTTAGATATCCTTTTAATTCACTTTTTTTTATTTTAGAATATGTTATAAAGATGTAAAGCTATGGCAGATTCATTGAGACTGAAAAAAAATGCCAGTAGCTGTGTCCTCAAAACTCTAATTAAATGAAAATGGTGGTATAATGATAGTAAAATATATAAATTCTAAAATATACAATTTAAACTGATTGAAATATATGTGATTGTGGAAGAAACGCACGAAATGTGCCTGTAATCAGTGGATACGCTTTCTACAAGATGTAATGAAAGATGGTTTTTTGTGTGTGTTTTTCTTTAATAAAAACAATAAAATCTCTTTAAAAAAAACAAGTGCTGCACTTATCAACAAAATGATAAGCAAATCACTTAACAAGTGCAATGATTTGCTTATCATATTGTAAGTCGTCCAAAGTTGCTATATCAGTGTGATGGGACCATAAAAAATTAATTAATAAATAACCCAGAAGAAAAAGATTGTAAAATAGGTCATGATTCATTTAAAAATCACCTTGCTTAGCTATGGAATTTCTGTCCCTAATTGTGGTCATAAATCAAGGATTTATCTGAGAGGCTCATCCCATCATGACTAGCCATATCTTGTATACCTTCACGCTGTACAACCTTACAACCTTTTTGAAGTGTAAGTTCTTGCTCATCATCTAAATTTTAGGGATATGTAATTGCATCTAGTAGGAAAGAAAGCTCTTCAGTGTGAGATAGTTCTCATAATTCTAATCTATGGAATCTACTCTTTGTATCCTGTGATTATAGAATACCATATGAAAAGTGAAAGAAGTGAAAGAAAAAATACTATCTGCTAAGAAGTTACTTCTCTAGAGTTATGTTTATGACTACTTTATTTGTTGTTATTCTTTTTTACTTTCCGTTAATTGTAATTTGGTCTTTAATTTTATTTATAAGATAGAATCATGATGTTTATTTATCTTTGTAAGACATTGAAAAACATTGTAGGATATAAATCCAATAAATAAATAAATATAAATAAATAATTTGTACTGTAATTCTATACCTAATAATCCAAAATAGATACCCTTAATATCACTCTCCATTTATTTTTCTGCATTTTAGTTTTGTAATGATTAATCATCTAATGCATTTGGTGATGAAATTAAGGCCTACAGTTTCTAATATCTAGAAAAATTGTAAACTAAAGAGTGCTGCTGATAGGGCAGTGGAATTGTGAAAATACTGAAATAGCTTTATCAGACAATACATTAATCGAAATTATAGCACCTGGCTAAAAGAGCAACATGATATCTTTATAGCCTTAGATTAAGAAAACTAAAGAGGGTTGTTTTTCTCTTCTTAAAATATTGAATCAGCATAGAGTATATTATTTGTTTGTTTGTTTGTTTGTTTGTTTATTTATTTGTAAAATGCATTTGCGCCCCATCATTGTGGGGCTACTCTAAATGGCTTACAATAATAAGAAAAACTGAAAAGGCATGTAAACAGAAGTAAAATAATAGAACAATAAACAATGACAATGGCATACAATGAGAATAAATTAACAGCAAATAGCAATTTTAGCATTCATATGTCATTCATGACTAGGCAGAGTTCTTAATATGATTAAGATTGAAATAGATATTTATACTTACTTGTTAGAAAGATGATGAAATGTGTCTGTATAACTTGAATGGCCAGGAGAGCGATCTGTTTACAATGTCCAAAGGAAACTATTCTCCTAACACTTATGAAGTAAGCTATTGAAAAATATATGAGTTTTCCTTTCCAAGTGTTCTCTACAACTTTGTACCACAATGTACACAAACTCACAATGTATTTTTTTCAAATATGATACAATGCAACAGGTTATATTTCTCGCTTAAGTAATTTACAATACTTTTACTTTGAACAATTGATCTTCATGCCATATCACAGCTATCTTGTGAAATGGCCCTTGTTTCAGAAGCATTCTGCTATCCAGCTAGACAAACACAAGATAAAGGCAACACATGAATTTCAACTTTCTCTGGATCTTTTCCACAATTCCTTAAAATGTGCCAGGATAGGTCTAACTTTGATGCATTTTTCAGAGTGTCTGATTTTGCAAGATTTTATTTAAAACTCTACTGTATTGTTATAGTTATATATTATTATATATTGCTAACAAACAAGAAACTTTATCTTATGTGATTTATTTTAGGAAATGAACTGTATGTCCTATCTTGCTTCTGGGGAAGCAGAAAATTTTTGTTGCATTTTTCAATCATGTGATTCAAGCTTTGTAAAAGGTCATCTTGGAACAGAATCATCCAGCCAACTTGGAAAGGATTTATTTCATGAATCAATAGACAAATCAGATATGCACGTAAGTAATGTTATTATTGCAGTGTTCACTTGGAAACTAGCTGTTTCAAATAGTATTTCTAGCTGTTACAAATAGTATTTCTTTATATTGGTATTGATTAAAGCTTTTACATAGCTGTTGTTAGATGTATAACTGTATATTTATCTAGTGATAAATAACTTATCCGTGAGACTTAGAAACTTATCTAAGTTCGTACATACACTATATTGCCAAAGTATTCGCTCACCTGCCTTTACTCGCATATGAACTTACTGTAAGTGACATCCCATATGTCAGTCCACCCCATAATCCATAGGGTTCAATATGACGTCGGTCCCCCCCTTTGCAGTTATAACAGCTTCAACTCTTCTGGGAAGGCTGTCCACAAGGTTTAGGAGTGTGTTTATGGGAATTTTGGACCATTCTTCCAGAAGCGCATTTGTTGAGGTCACATACTGATGTTGGAGGAGAAGGCCTGGCTCTCAGTCTCCACTCTAATTCATCCCAAAGGTGGTCTATCGGGTTGAGGCCAGGGCTCTGGGCAGGCCAGTCAAGTTCATCTACACCAGACTCTGCCATCCATGTCTTTATGGACCTTGCTTTGTGCACTGGTGCACAGTCATGTTGGAAGAGGAAGGGGCC